CATACAGAGGCACACGGCAGCCCAGATCCCAATGCCAAACTCCACAATGCCAAGGATCAAAATGATGGCATTTAGAGTCATTTCTGTGTCCCAATTGACATATCTTCTATATCCAGTGAAGTAGTAGTCCTCTGTAGGACCATAGCCATTGTAGTCATTGTAGTATGGGTCAGACCTGTAGTCGCTTTGGTTAGCAATTGCCATGCTGTAACAAATGATGATTATTCCACCAAACACGGCTGAGGTGATGGAAAACCCCATAAACACACCAGCCTTAAGGAAAAGATAAGATAAGACAAGAACTGCCTTAACTCCAACCTAGCTGATAGTTTTTGTACAACGAGAATGAAGGAATGATAATTCGAGAATGTTGATTGAGTCTACATTCAGTCAACAATTGGCAAAACTAGAAATTAGAGTGCGACAGCAATTGGAATCTTCTTCTTTACAAAGAGGCATATTACATCAAGCGCCCGACGCCTTCCCTCAACAAAGGACTCAAATCCAGCGGAGAACTTTGCCTTTTTCATGAATATTACTTTTTGTTTCATCTCTTCATTATTATTAACACCATATTTACACGTACGAGCTACCTTGTATGTATATTCTAATCGGATGATAGTATAGTTCTTACCGAAATTCTCGTTTTGCCAATCGTTGTCTGGCATTTTCGGATTATCATTCATTCTATAAGTGTCTCAAGATCGAGTGTACAACATATGGTCTCTGAAGCTTGAGTTCGCTTGACCTGCTTTTCACTAGTGACATTTTTTGTGTGTATGTTGCTGGCCACAATAAAAGAAAGAGCGTGGCTCGATTCACATGATGGCCAATTTGAATGCCTTTGTCTCGCAAAATTTCTTTGCGAGATACAGCGGGGAATACTCACACAGGACGAAATAGCAAGAATCCGGCTGAGAAAACCCAGAATTTGGTTTAACCGCTCGTAATATAGCTTTATGTAAAAAGGTTGTTCCAAATATTAAGTACGTAGATGAGAGAGATAAAGATAACATTTAGCAGCGGTGTGGAACTCACAGCTTTCACGTGATACGTGTGTTTAATGCTGTGCAGTGCCTCTAACTTTCTAACTTACTTTTTTCTAGGTTGAAACAGCATGGTGTCCAAATGCAAGTTATTAAGCAATCCTGGGTACGTCACAGTACCTTGCACTATCTCATGGTATGACTAGTTCGCGAGCGGCAAGATGAACCGAATCCTGGGCTGTGATTAGCTACCCGAGCGGGATACCTTACCCACTCGGGGATTACACGCCGTGTTCCCAAGAAAATAGCGTTATTTTCCATATAATAAATCTTTTATTGACCAAGCCTGTTCGGTCAAGATGGCTGGATATTTGCTTCGCTCGATCTTGCATGTTTATGGACTTCCGCTTCGAGTCGGTTCATAAACACGCAAAAAATCATTTTGCCAAGATCCAGCCATTTGACCCCATTCTTGGTCAGTAATGAATATATACCAGATGGTTCTAGCTTTAAAGATCGTGAATAAAACTCTTATGTGTACCGTACAAATTTAGTTTCAAGTTGAAACGTATTTTCACGTGCTAATGTTCATTAATACACCGAAAGGTTGACGAAAAGGGTCGCTTGAACTCTCCAGTGTATGGAGAGTAGCTATGCGTATGAAAATTATCCAGAAATTCTAACTTCTAGATAAAGGGATTTCGTTTGCTTTTCTCTTTTCTATACGGCGAACAGAAAACCGACAGCCAAACTTTAAATGTATAGTTTCTCTCATGTCCTAAAGCGGAAAACCTACATGGACATAGTATGAAACGGCTTAAAGGGCATGTAAATCCCAAAATACAAGTTTT